CCGGCCGCCTCCCCGGCGGCGCTGCGCTACTCCCCGTGCGCGCCGTCCGGGCCCGCGCGGCTGTGAGTGTGGAACGCGCCGGGACTTCGCTACATTGTTGGCATTCCAAGCGCGTCACGTGACCGTGCGTCATCGCCCCCAGGGGGCGGGGCGGCACCGGGACCTGGACCAGCCCCTGCCCCAGGCGCCGCTGCCCGAGAACTTCCCCGGAATGTTTGGCGTGGGGCCCCGTGCCCTCTGCTAGAGCCAAGACCACCCCAAAGCTGCTCCGGCCCGGCCGCTCCTGTCCCCGTGCTGCACGGAGGCCGCAGGGACGCGCTGTCCTGCCCCCGCGCTCAGCGGGCGTCTCTTCGCGTTGGGACAAGGGCAGGAGGCCGCGGGGCGCTCGCGTGGGACACCCGCCTTGTGCCTGAGGCGCTTCGGCCCCGGCCTGTCCGCACATGGACACCGGGACCGGGCTCTCAGCGCTCTGCGGGGGCTAGCAGGGACCCCGCCCCAGCCAGGCTGCTCTCCGGTCGGCACCATCCCCACCCCGGGTCTGGCCCCTCTCGGCTGCAACTTAGTGGAAAGCCCCCCCAACCCTCCCCGCACCCCAGGCCCCGCTCGCTCCCCGCGCTGCCCTGCTTACTTGTGCGGTCGGCTTGGGGAGCGGACAGGGAAGGGTTCATCCGTCTGTCCTGCCCCTGGGGGGCAGGGGGGACACAAGAGTGAAGCCCGGAATCGGAGAGGGAAGGAGGGAGATTCTTACCTTTCAGTCCTCCGGGCCCCTGCCGTCCTGAACATGTGAAGCTCCAAACATGAGCTAGGACTAACACCCAGTGACATTTGAGCAGCTCACGCTATAACATGTAACAAGGCCCTGAGTTAATGTTTCCACATTTGAGTTGATGTTTTTAGGTAGAGTTAAAAACAGCCCTGCAGGCTGTTGAATAGTACCTACATTAAGAAAAACAGCTAATAGCAGAATTGCAAAAGAAAGAATTGCTTGATCAGCTGAACCTGTGGGATAAGGAGTTTATAACCTACCTGACTCTTTCTTATGAGCCTTGAAGTGAAGTGACTCCCTTGCTGCTGCCCAAAATGAAGTGCTGCTGCCGCAGGCAGTTGGTTTTAAACTTTGAGTGAGGCAGGAATCAAGGGGGGGGGGATGCAACTGCACTACTGCACCCACTCTGGATCCAGGCATTAACAACTCCCAGAGAAGGAGGACATAAAGAAAACAAACTTATAGAAGATAATACAAATACACCAAATTAACATGCAAGTTATCTCTATAGCCCTGTGCCAGGTTAGGGAGGGAGATTCTGTTCCATATTCATTTTAAATGCAGATTGTTAAAGTGTCTCCCTCTCAGGAGGAAGGATTTCAGTGTGCTTTTCTGGGGGAGTTATCTAAATACTCAAGCACATGGGTAATTTTACTCATGTAAACAGACCCACTGGTTTGAACAGGACTATCTGCTCATATAAAGCTGAGTAAGGGAATAACATGGTTTTTTTGCCGAATGGGAGCTAAATATATAGCCCCTTCAAAGCCAATAGGATAATTATGTGAGTAATGCTACTCCCATATGGCCCCGTCTTAAAACATTCTTTGAAATCTCACTTGTCTTCTAATTTTTTAATTTGCTTCATCCAAATTGTCACTACAGCCTGTGAACAACTAGGATTTTTTAAGAAGGGAATCAGTTGAAAAAACAGTTTAAGAACTTTTTCTAAAACTTAAAGTTTAGAAAACAACTCCCATGTTTTTTAGAAAAAAAGTGTAGTGACATGACATGGTTTAGCATTTTAGCAACTGAAGGCTGCCAGTTACTTTTTAGGAATTAATGTCAGACTTTCGATAGTGTCATTGACTGAAATATATTGAGGGGAAGAGAGGAAAGGAAACCTCCAACTCAGCAGAGCTACAGAAAGCCCTTGGACTCAGAACAGATTCCAGTGACAGCATTACATTGTGGAGTGAAGTGGTTCACTTTGCAATCTTCAAATATGTGAAAAACTAAAGTAAACTTTAAATGTTATGATAGATGCAGCAAGGCTTCATTTTCTGAATTACTGTTGTGCTTAGCCCATGAGGCATAGCAACATGATTGCCTAAAACAGGGTATTGCTCAATGTCTTGAGACCTTTTCCCACCAAAGTCCAGGCTGGCTTAAAGAAGCAACATCAATATAAAAATTGTGCAGCCCATGTGAAAATGTCTGCATCTTAGATACTAGTATTATCTATGTAATTAAATCTTGACAAAATTGAGACTTGCAGGGCATTTTTCATTATTAACCCTTTTTTTTTTTTCCTTTTCCAATCAATTTGGACAGCGACATTAAACTCAGATATTTCAGTTTCCAGTCAGTTTCAGTTGCTGGATCTGGCGCACTAGAATGAAGCTGTAGAGTTTGGATTTCCTGCTACAGAGTAAGAGATGGGAATTTGGGGGGGGGGAGGGGGGGGAAGGAGGAAAGCTCATCTCCTATACTACAGAAGCACTACGTCAACATGCCCTCTTGTAAACTAGCAGCTTCCTTGCACTCTTCAAGCAGAACAAACTGTGATAATAACGATGTTCCCATAGAGTATTACATACACCCTGGGAATTTGGTGTGCCTGAAGCATCATTCAACATGTCAGTTAAAACATGGTTTGGTCCCATATGCACTGAAACTATTAAGAACAAAGTATATTAAGGCACAATAATTCCCCCCTTTCAGCATTGTTTCCACGTTAAAATGGTATCAGTAGGAGGGTTATCACATAGAAAGACCAATAGCATTGTATGTCTGAGAAAATCTATTTAAGGGCTAGAGCTTGGGAAAAAAAAGCATGGCATAGGTAATGACTGGTGCTCTAGAAATATCTTAGATTCCAGCACAATGGCAATGGAATGGGCAAGACATTATTTCATTTGACTCAACTTTACGTTTAACATGGGATTAGCTATTAACTAAAACTATTAACATGGGATTCTTTTACTGGTAAACAAATATCAGAAATTATAACTAATTTTGCAATCCTCCCAAAAGAATACATAATATGTTCCCATATCCACCTATGTCCCCAAATGCATATCACCTCAATTATTAAGTTTAACAGGAGCAAGAGCAGAGCTGAGGAGATCTGCGCTGAAAGAATGTCAAGATGTTGTGTGGACTCTCACTAACACTAGGTAGTTGTACTACATGCTGACTGTCCACCTGTTGACTTTGTGAAGGCCTCTACTGACTGGATGACATTTCACAAATTGGATGTAGTACAGTAACTCTTGAACACCACAAGCAGCCAATTGCAGAATTTCAGGGAATGTTCTTGGTCTCAATGGGCAAAACCCAGAATAGAGAACTGAGGGAAGGAGGGCGTGAGGTTGAACACACAGTTCCTGGCATTTGGTGAGTATATCCAGCAATTTCAGTCAGGTCTGCAGTTATGTATAGATCAACAGGGGTGTAGGTTGTTTGTTTATCTGCTACAACCTACACCCCCCCACCCCAAAAATCAAAGAACTAGTCAATAGCAGCCATTAGCACCTTCCAGCACAACAATACCCTCATCACAGTTCTGCCCATCCTCCCAGTGTTGTTGGCTGAAGCAAACTTCCTACGGCCCAAAGTTGGTCTAATAAAAGATATCATTTATCCCCAAAGAAATTTGCCTGCCTATGGCCCAAAGCATACCGAATGGATCCAGACCATGCTGGGACAAGAAATGTAAAACCTGCCAACACATTTCCTACAATAGCCACATCACACAACAGAACCATCACCATTCCTGGATCTTATCCTTGCACCTACAGAAATTTAATATATCTCATCCAATGCACTAAACCCCCTACTGGAAAATATGTAGGAGAAACCAAACAACAACTGCATACCAGAATGAACACAAACTGAAAATCTATCAAAGACAAAAATATCCAATTACCCGTGTATGCTCACTTCTCACAAAAAAAGTGCTCTCTCTCTCTTCAAATCGCTCAGTTACAATCCTCAAAGGGAATTTACAAAACACCTTTCGTAAATGAGCCTATGAACTTCACTTCATAAATCTACTGATACAAAAAAATCATGGACTAAATATAATGTGCCATAAATCCAATGTCTATAACCTGTCTAACATCTGGTAACCTGTCTGCATTTTACCAGCTACAATCTATCACCAGCTCAACATTCCCTTTTTCCCCCACCCCACCTATCTGTCTCTATTGTCTCCCATTTCCTCTGACCCTCACTACCTTGCATTTGCATCTTCACAGACCTGCTTTTTGCATTTTGGCTTCTATTCCACCCAGGAGAATACACAAAGCACCACCAGACTCTCCCTATGCCTGGAAAAGGGTGTTTGTGCCTGAAAGTTTGCAAAGAATAGTTTTCCAAATATTGAGTTGGTCTAATAAAAGATATCACATTTACCCAAAGAACCGTGTCTGCCATCCCAGTAGAACTGAATGTCTCCTCTCCCAGACAAAATTAAATAATGATAAATAATAAGTATGTGAGAGGAAGTTGCAGGTCCTTCTGCAGAGGAGAGTAGGCCTTAGGCTGGGATTCCTCTCCTTTTCCTTCCTCTGTTCTCTCTTCTCTGCTTTCAGGGTAAGATACTTCACCTCGAAACAGGCTGTAGTTTGGTTGAGGTTGTGGCCTCATTGGGGTAGATCAGCAGCCAACTCCTCCCAACTCTTGATGTCAGCATCCGTTTTCTTGAGGTGTGCCTTCAATGTGTCCTTGTAGTGTTTCTTCTGGCCACCCCAAGATCTCAGGCCATTACTGGGAAGTACATACAGAGTTCCTAGCCTGGAGAAGAAACAGAAGAATCTGGGGCAGGGCAGCCACACAAAGTTCCTGCCATGGTGAAGAATATGGCTTGTATGGCAGTTTCCCTAGCTCTAAAGAGAGGATCATGATCTCAGTCTTTGTGAAGTATTGTGAAAAACAGGGGGTAAATGGCTCTTTGTAAGAACAATCAGTATTTTACTATAAGATGAGGGGCCGAATCCCATAAATTAGATAGTCTCCTAAACTCCCAATGAAATCAATCAGAGTTTAGATGCCTAAACAGGAGTTAGGTAGCTAAATACCTTTTTAGGTCTGTAACAAGTCTATAACTTAAAGCCCAGAATCTCAGTTCAGCATTTATTTAAAAGGGAGTTGTGTAGATTTCTCCAACAATCTATTTTAGGTACTTATAGGGCACCTCTCCCCTAGGTATCTCAGCACTATGCTGGGTAGCTCTGCTCATTTGTGGAATACATTCATTTTTAGCAAATTTGTAAAATGTTTCACATTTAGCTTACCTATTGATGTAATTTGAACCATTTGCATCTGAGGCATTTAAACTACATTATGCACTCTACAATAAACTGCTAACTCAGACTTTCATTTGCATTTGTTGGGAAAAGAAACATTTTTAGTATGTTTTAACCTCTTGGATGCAACAATTATTCTGTGTCCACTGACTGATTACAAACTTCTAACATAACTGTTATTTAATAGGATGTTACAAATCTGATTACTGGATGAAAAAAGTGTCTCATTTAATTTAAAGCAAAGGTAGCTAAGGTTATAGTAGCACAGCTTTGGGAGACAAATTCCTGAATTCTCATGTTGGCTGTACCACTAACTCATTGTATGATTTTGAACAAGTCCTTTTCCCTGTATTTGTCAAGTTTGCTTCATGGGAGTATTCGTGGAAGGATCCAAGATTTTGTAAAGGGGTGTGTAAGAGCACCACCTGGTACTTCAGGGATAGCTATGCCTTCACTCCCAGCTTTCCAGCCCTGGCAGTGGGGCAGGAAGGCCCAATCGTGGGAGCAGCACCAAGGTATTTTTTAAGTCCCTAAAGCAGGTAAGAACGTGCCCCTCAGCAGCATGTCCCCTCCCCTCCCATTCTCCCCCTCCCCTGCCCACCACTGTGCTGTCATCAACTGTTTCCAGTTGCCCTGAGAGTGGGGAACTCCAGAGCCACTCCTGCTCTGCTTCAGCTGGGCTACATAAGAAGCTGGGTTCAGTGGCAGACAGGAAGGAAATGGAGAGGGAGGGGAGATGCTGCTGAGCACAGAGGGGAAAGGAAGTGGGGCAGGGATTTGCATCTCATTTGGGGACTTAACAGAAGTCTCTGGCTGCTGCTCCCATGGGGAGATGCAACTGCACCCCCTCTGGATCCCCTGGAAACACTGTGTGGTTTAACTACAAAATGTGCATAAACTCTTCTGACAATTAATAAATGCCATTACATGTACTAAAAGAAATGCAAAACTCTATAACTCTTGGTTCAGAGATGATACCTTTTATTAGACCAACTAAGACATTGCAAAAACATATCCTTTTCTGCAAGCTTTTGGGTGCACACATGCTTCCTCAGGCTCAGGGAAAATTAAAGATAGTGAAAAGTCCCCATAGGTAGAAAATAAACTTCATTTTTGTGCAGAGGAAGCTGAAGGTGGAAGTCTGTTCCTCTGGGTTTCATAGATTCAGTCATAGATACATAGATGTTAGGGTCAGAAGGGACCTTAGCAGATCATCAAGTCTGACCCCTTGCCCTGGACAGGAAAGAGCACTGGGGTCAGATGACCCCAGCTAGGTGCATGTCTAGCCTCCTCTTAAAGACCCTCAAGGAAGGGGAGAACACCACCTCCCCTCCAGATTTTGGCAACCCTTACCGTAAATAAGTTCTTCCTCATGTCTAACCTAAATCTGCTCCCCGTCAGTTTGTGGCTGTTGTTCCTAGTTACTCCAAGAGGTGCCCTGGTAAACAGAGCATCTCCTATTCCTTGCTGTCCCCCACAATGAATTTGTAGGCGGCCACAGGATCACCTTTCAGCCTTCTCTTGCAGAGGCTGAAGAGATCCAGGGCCCTCAATCTCTCCTCGTAGGACTTTGCCTGCAAGACCCTAACCATAGGAGTGGCCTGCCTCTGAACCCTCCCGAGGTTGTCCACATCCCCCTTGAAGTGCGGTGTCAAAAACTGGACACAGTACTCCAGCTACAGCCTGACCGATGCCACATAAAGGGGAAGTATCACCTCCTTGGACCTGTTTATCATGCACTAGCAGGTGTATGACAAAGTGTGGTTAGCTTTACTGATCGCTTTATCACATTGACGACTCATGTTCATGCTGGAGTCAACAGTGACTTCAATATCCTTTTCCATCCTGTGCTGTTGAGAAGGTCCTCCCCCAGCTTGTAAGTGTGCTGGCAATTCTTTTTCCCTAGGTGCAGCACCTTGCACTTGTCTTTGTTGAACTGCATTCTATTCTGTTCTGCCCACTTTCCAAACTGTCCAGATCTGTCTCGATTTGTTCCCTACCCTCTGGTGTGTTAACTTTACCCCATAATTTGGTATCATCTGCAAAGCACTCTGTCCAAATCTGCAGATGATACCAAATTATGGGGTAAAGTTAACACACCAGAGAGTCCATGAGAGTGTCTCAGTATTGCAAGTACTAAGCATTACTATTATGCATCTGGGCATGATAGCTAAATTATCTCCAATATCTTACAGAATGTCACATCAATATTGTTTGTCAGATGGTAATTCTATTGTTAGCTCATATCAGTATTGTATACAGACAAAATCAAGAATCGTCTTAGATAACAAGACCCTGGTGGGGGGAGACTTGATTTCTGGCAGGACTGGTAAGATGATAAAGGGGCTCATTTTATCGAATGAAGCCTAAAGGGGTGCGTGACAGGGGGCCTCCTAGGGGCCGAGCTCTGTGGCCTGCCCGCCTGTCACCATGACAGGAGGCCTACTCAGGGCCGAGCTCTTCGTGGCCCGCCCACCTGTCTCTGGGCAACCGCCCGCTTATCTCGCCCGCCCTGCCTTT